GTTGATTATCATTAAGACTACCCCTCTACCTAAATCTCTACATTGTCTACGAGGCATAGACCGAAAATTGATGAAAACTGTACGTTAATGTCCATGCTATTCTGGGTCGAACTGGAGATTAATTTGTCTCTACCCGTATGGACTAAAGCTGATTTGCATTTCACTCCTGCATTCTGTACAGGCGTCAGCAAGCATTTAGACATGCAGAAAACAGTACAGAGGCTTACATGTAAGGGTAGGATTACTGATAACCTGGTAAACCAACCGACGTATTAGCTTTTTGAACTGAACCTTAAATCAGGTTCAGTCCACATCGGTATGGGTGGATTACTATTGTGGAATGCATTATTAGATGAAATTATGTTATTACTGTCGTGTACTGTTCAGGATTATCGGATTATTGCTGCCTGTCTTGATCAAGCGGTCTCAGGTTTATATTAAGCAGTAAGAGCTGCAGCGACAAAGGTTAATGATTCTCACCCCAAGAAGGCTGACATCTTTAACCTGCTGTCATGATTTTTATCCTCCAGCGCATAAGTTGATTGCCTCCTGTGGTAAATGAAGGTTTCTTTCACCGTTAATGCGATGGCTGTAAGAATTCACACGTTTCTAATAATTTTCATTTTCAGCTTAAGTATTGATATGGTGGATATGTACTAATATGGTAACTCTGATGTGTTATTGAGAAGTTTGACAAGAGTCAAAAATTTTCCCTCAAAGATTGTTTCTTTATTACTTTACTCATTGAAACTGAAAAGTTGTAGAAGCGATCACGCTAGGCTAAAAACAAACATGCACATCTGATATCTGACATGCTTTAATTCACCGTGGTTCTCAGTAGGTTGATTTGAACCTTAATTCAGTTTTATACGTTTTAGTAAATTCATTTTCATCTGTTGTATTCTGATTGTTTTTATCTGCTAAATTTATTGTTACAGAAAATGTTGTTCGTTCATCATTGAACAAAACCAATGCTTACATATTGGATAATATGTGAGAGTTCGCTGATAGTGTTGTTCGGTTCGATGGATTTATCGATTTGAAGAAAACAGCCGACGAAGGATCCGTCGACTTGCACAGCTTTCATCTCCGCCGTTATTAACATCATTTTTGGCAGCAGGAACTCGAAATGAGGACGTGCAAGTTGTGGTATCACAAACGGGAGGATAGGTTAAGCAACGTCGACTTCTTGTTTTGTCCGAAAGAATTTCCTGACGTGGCAGTCGGCGATGTACTCGAGCTGTTCCACGTCGATAATGGTGTCTGTGGGGACAGGGGCCATCGGTTATTGGTGCAGATAACGCGGATCGTCGAAGAGTTCGCTCCAAAGCAGAGTAACACTGTTAGCGTGGATCAGAGTCTGGCGACTGCATTTCAGTTGAAGAACTATGGCGACGTGGTGGTTCGCAAGGTGGTTGACAGGGAGGCAGTGACGTTGAGTATCCTGGAGTTGTCCATTAAGGAACAGTGCGTCGGTCGAGCCGACCAGTACCGTTTCAGACGCTTCCTGCTGCACTCCTGTGTGCACATGCACCGAAAAATTGAGTTCTGCGGCATCCGGGCACAAGTGCAGGAGATGTGCCGCGGCGGTGAGCGGGTCAGCTGTGGCTATGTGAACGATGAGACCCGCATCGTGTTCCGATCGAGCAGCGCCGCTGCTCATATCCTCATTCAAATGAGCGCCGAGATGTGGGAGTTCGACGGCGACGGCGGAAACCTTTATATGGAGAAGTGCTTGGATGGTTTTCTGCCCGAGCTGTTCCGCAAGTGGCAAGACAAGAACTGTTCTCACTACGTTACAGTCGCCGTTTTCTCTCGTTGGTTCTACCCAAGGTCGACGGTGTCAACTACCGACAAGCAGTCGACTTTAGACCAGATTCCGGCCACTGTCCGTGACCACTTAATGATCGACCACCGCGGGACGCCTTATCAAGACTTCTACCACGTGATGATCCAGAACGAGCACTACGACGAATGGATGCCGCTTCTGTCGAAGATCAAATGCGTGTTCTACAAGTACAAAGCGATGATGAACGCCTATCAACGGTCGCTGGGTCTGCCCAAAGCCGAAAACAGCACGGCTAGCAACGGCAACTTTCTCGAAGCTTTGGTACGTGAGCTTCATGAACGCGTTTTATTCTGGTTAAAATACGAGTATGCATTGCGGGAAACCAAAATTCACTTTCCTTAATTCACTGACGTAGCCTCTGTCTAGCGTACTGCAATCCTTCTATCAGCAGCTCAGCGTTGTTCTGTATAAAGTCTACGTGACGAACTACTTTACCCATAGAAGTTCACTCAGTAATTCAGTGGAACCAGTGCCACCACTGCTACATCATTGCACAATCTTATATGCCTGTCTACTTTGAGACAACGTTTGATTTATTGCGTCATCCAATGATGTGCGCAATCGTAGAGTACTGTAGGATATCTGAAAACATCATTTCGATTTTGAGAAACCTCTATCCAAAAACCGTGTCTGCTTCAGAGTTGAAGCGGCGCTGTTTGAAGGATTAGTTATTAAATGTGTAATTCGTCGAAAAGATATAATTTTTCCTTTGCTGAACGCTGATCTAGACTTTTTTCTCTAAAATAGTGCTGACTCTGGCATTGAAAAAGGTCGTGTTATAGATGGAGAATGCAGTTTAGGATATTCGGTCAAATTTCATGTTGATCTGGAGTACACATGATATTTATTGTCCTTGTTAATAGTATGGAAAGTGTGCTCTGTCACCTGGCGGTTAATGTATGCAGCGCAGCTGCGAAAGCCGGTCTATTCCTCACCTGCAAAATTGAGCAACTCGCCAGACGCCGTTGATTGACACTAATGGAACAGAGTAACTCGACTATCAATATGAGTATCTCGGCTATATCACCTCTAGCACTTGCTTCATCTACTCAGAGCTAGATAGGAGGAACGCTGAGACAAGTCGCTAGCCTGAGGCGTCTCGACACGCTCCGAAATACAGACATCGGCAAGACCCTGGGTGTACAGCCGCTGCTTCTTCAGATTGAGAGGTCACAGCCGGGATGGTTTGGGCATGTGTTATGAATGCCTCCAGAAAGGAAAGCAAAACAACTATTTCTTGCCCAATTTACCCGGCAGAAGGCCCAGGAATGGCCATGATTAATCTGATGCAGATATATGGAGTCTGCTCCAGACTCCATTTGTCTTCTACCGAAGCTCAGACCGCGGCGGTCATGGTAGATGATGATGACGTAACAATGGACCGGATACAATATATCCAAAAGTTGAGTGTTTCTTTCGTGGTTTTACTAAAAACAGCATAGAACACAGTTTATGTACATGTGACCTTCTGGCTCTGCGTGTATCAACCACCGCTGTGCCTGATATGGCGGTAAGAATCCCGACGTGAGTTATTACAAATGTTGGTTTGATTACTTGTAATCCGCTCGAATTGATTGCTCCAGGGTGGTCTGAGGCAGCCATTGGATGACGTGGAAAAACCATGGATCCCACATCATAACAACTTGATGTAATTCTTGATACTTCTGACGCTGTGCTTGATTTGTAGCCCGCATTAAAGCGGATTTGTTACGGCGAAAATTCACTACAACGTTGTTTACTCTTTCTTGGTCTCCTTCATTGTTGAACGAACCTCACAATTCGTCATGCAGACCTCGAAGCGGAAATTAAAAGTAGATTTAATCAACTTTTTTTTGT